AAAAAGGAAACAAAAGAAAAAGAGGAATGAATCTTCTGCTAGAACATGGAACCATACGTCGCCATATGTTTTGTCTTTTGTGCAAGTGGTGACGATAAATTTTGGCTAGACATATCTCTACAAATTTGAATCTTATTAAAGGGTATCACTACAAATGATCATGGCAACGTAGATAAGGAAGGAATGTTTGAAGTTTCGTCTTCAACAATCTAGTAATTAATTTTTAAAAGGGTCATAGTAATCGTAATGATAACAATTATGAAGTTTGTCAATGATTGGAGTAGTGGTTATAACCCTTGAAGTTTCCACCTCTAATTTCAGTGGCATGAGTACTATGTTGATGTATCCTAAGATTGTAATATGAAGTCTACATTGTTCCCCCCTATTATTAGTTATGAATAAAAACTAAAAATGATGATTTTTTTTATATATATTTTAAATAAGGTTTATCCTTTCACTTTTGCCACATTTCAAAAGTCTTAAGGAAAACAAAATAAAGATAAAATTTCGATTAAGGACAGATGGTTAAAACACCACACATACATTTTGAGTTGAAACGTATGGAGTTCCTGGCTCGTGATCTGACCTCCCTGCCATATCCAAGAAAAAAAATAAATGTTATGAAAGTGACAAAACACAAGCACATTTAATGTCAATATGTATCAAGTTTAATTCATTATTAAAATTTGAGTGAATACATTTAGATTTTTATTTTGATTTACTTTGAAATCAAAATATATAGTTAATCAAATCATAAAAAAAAATAATTAGTCAATACATAATTTTGCATATTATTATTCATACATTGATTTCAAAACGATGAAAAACAATGAAAATATTACTCCATAATTCAAAGTTACATCCGTATTGATCAAAGTCAACATTATCAATCACTGACATATGACTTGTGGATTTAAACAAATAGAAAAAGTTCGTCCTCTATAAAAATACATTTTTTTTCGACCTTACCTTGGCTACCAGAGTGGCCCGAGGTCACTTACCTGGCTGAACCATAAAATATAAAAAAATAAAATTTAAAAATATATATTTTTCTAGGCTACCAAAGTGGTTCGGGGTCACTTGCCCGACAGGGCCAAAAAAACTAAAAAATTAAAAAAATAAAAATTTATTTTTAAATTTTATTTTTTATTTTAGATTTGGTGAAGAATTTCGATGTAACCCTGAGGCAAAAGTTGTTCTGTTTATTTTTCTGCATAACGTAGTTTTCTTTTGGATGTTTTGGAATTTGTTTTTTTTTTTTTTTTTTGCAGGGACATTCCTTGGTCCTTGCATGGGCTAGCCACCCAGGACCCGAGCGGCCCGGCAGGTAGCCTAGATATTTTTCTATTTTTAAAAAAACAATTGTAAGGAATTTGATGGCACAGTGAGGCAAATATTGTTCAGTTTGTTCTTCTGCATAACATAGTTTTATTTTGGATTTTTTAAAGTTATTTTTTTTGTTTTTCTTTTTTGATGGGACCTTCTTTGGTGCTTGCACGGGCTGGCCACGTGGGACCCGGGCGGCTCGGCTGGTAGCCTACACCCTTACCCAAGAAAAAGGTCGTGAGGAGTTCGAACAAATTAACAGTCGTCGGGCTGTAAAATAATATAATTGTGGAAAGGATTTTGAAAAAAGTGTTAACTTCAAGAAAAAAATAAGCTTTTATTTGAAAAAGGTTTGTACCTTAGAAGTTACCTTTCGGTTTTTTCCATTATACATAAGAGTAACAAACCCTAGTCTCTTCAGCTTAGTGCAATATCTAGCCTCCATTATTTATGGACAACCATGGTAACCAACGACTATAAATCTCACTAATTATTGGGTATGAGACACATAGGAAAGAAAGAAAAGGAATGGTGCGAGAAAAAGGATTAAGAAAGAGTTCATATAACTTTTAATTCACTACATATCGTCCTCATTATGATTTTTATAATTTTTTATCCCAAATGCTTATTACAGTTCATTATCTGTATAACTAAATGCATGTTTTACATTTTGGTGGTCAAAAATTTTTCCTTACTCTATTTTAAATTAGATAGCACATCCAAATAACTGGTAAACCAGTATTATCTAAATTAAATTTCCATATTAATTCTATACATGAAAAACTTCGCTCACAAAATAGGATTTTTTACGAAGATAGAAATATAATCAAAACAATCTCGAAGAAAGTATGAGGTAGATATTAACGACATAAACAACGTTCGGTTGCATTTCAACTTTGATATTTCAATGGATAAAAAAATAAACAAATACAATAAATAACAAAACTTACAAAACAATATTTAGATAAAATGAATTAAGCATTTTTCCTCTAAATCATTTTATTCTCTATATAGAGCCCCTTTAAAACCATTGATGACCTATCAAGCTTTTCATAAAATAGAACTTGAAACGTAATTTTATTATATTTTGCATGCGCAATGTCATCCTTTTTTTTTTTTTTTTAAGGTTTTTTTTTTATTATTCGTATTTTTGGATAATCCTACCCTCAATTTATCTGGTCAGATAACCCATGCTACCTAGATTTTAAATTAAGTTATGATGTATTCACTGATTATTGGTTCGCTCATACAATTTGCATGTTGCCTAATGTTTTGTTTCTTCTACATCTTAGTAAACACACAATGCATTTCTTGATTATATCCATTTGCTTAAGTTTTTCTGACCGTTGGCTACATATTTGATTATATTACATATCGTGCAACCCTGAACAAAAACCGATTTATTTGTACGACATTTCTTTTTCCTTTATTGACATCTGATCTAGACTACGAGAGTGACCCGGGTCCACTTGCCCGGTTGGGCCAAAAAGAAATTAAAAAATATATATATATATATATTGTTAATTTGAAAAAGAATTTTGATGTGACACTAAGGCAAACATTGTTCACTTTATTTTTCTGCATAACATAGGTTTTTTTTCGGATTTTTTTTATTTTTTTTTAGTTCAGACCCTCCATGGTCCTTGCACGGTTGGGCCGCCTGGCAAAATAGGCTGGTAGCCTAGCATCTTATCATATTCAATTTCTCCTAAACCACCACTACCTTTTCTGGGTGTTCCAAAAAATTGGAATATACGTCACACCGCATTTTTCGAGGTTGTCAAGGAGGCTCGGCCAAATCGAAATGTTTGGTCCCCACGGACCCGCCTGTTATGAAAAAAAGAAAAACAAAAAGGAGACTTCAATATGGACTTCGTGTGTCGGAAAAGGCCATGAAGAGGTGCGCTCACACCAGTGGTATTACGAACGCATCTACCCAGATTCTTTGTTAGTTTTTTTTTTTTTTTTTTTTACTTTTAGTGCCCTGCCAACAAGGTAGGGATACTAGGGAACATAAAACGGGCAGCGGGCACTTTGCAACAGAGGAGACAATCTCAAATGTACTCAAGATTTTGTATCCACCTCTTTTCACGTTTATAACATGGTTGTTTTTTTTCCTTTCGTTTTGTTGTTGTCGTCATTACAGCAATGTTGTAACGCCGAATAAACATTGTCTAATGTTGCGTAGCACGGCGAACATGTTCACGATGCTTCCCGTTCGTGCATTCGCGTGAATGGGTCGAGAACACGTTCGTGAGAACACCAATTTTGAGGCCGCAAGCGCCGTTGGGGGGGGCCGATACCGGTCGACAATGGAGGTCCTGGTTGGGGGTTTCGGGTCTTGGCGGACTCTTGAGGGGGGCTGGGGGGGCCAGGAACTACTTGGGCAGTGGAGGCACGTGGTGGGAAGTTGTGGGAAGGGGTTTTCAAATGCAAATTCGATTGCTCGTCCCCCCTAGCTAGAGCAGCGCACAGAGGCGGCGCCGCAACCAGTTAGGAGCCCGCCGAGAGAGAGAGAGAGAGAGAGAGAGAGAGAGAGTCGATAGCCAACAGGTGAGTCAGCAGCCCCCCCACATCGTCATCAACTTCATCTTTTCCTCACCATCTTCCTCTCCTCCTCGCCATCTTCTTCTCCTCCTCACCATCTTGTTCTTCTCCTACTCCTCTCCTCCACCTCCTCCTCCCCGTCATCTCTTGAGTCCTCGTCGCTCGGCTGCCATGTCAGCACGCTTAGCTTTTTTTTTTTTTTTTCTGCTTCTTATTGGGCTTCCCCATCCAGTCTTCTTCCTCTGCTCTCCTCCTTCTCCTCCTCCTCCTTCGCCTCCTCCTCCTCCTTTCGTCATTTTTTTCTTCTTATTTTCCTCCTCAACATCATCAACTTCGTTTTCTCCTCCTCGTCATCTTCTTCATCTTCTCCTTGTCGTCATCTTCTCCTCCTCCTCCCTTCGTCACATTAGCCTTCTTCTTCTCCTCCTCCTCCTCCTATCCTCCTCCTCCTCCTCGTTTCGTCATCATGTTCTTCTTCTTGTCTGCCTCGTCCTCCTCCTCGCCATTTCCTCCTCCTCCTTTCATCTTCTTCTTCTTCTTTATCCAGTTCTCATCCTCCCCTGTTTCTTCTTCTCCTCCCCATCTTCAACTTCTCTTCCTCATCTTCTTTCTCTACTCCTCGCCATCTTCTTCTTCTCCTACTTCTCTCCTCCACCTTCTCCTTCCCGTCATTTCGTCGTCGTCACACCGCTTCCACGTCACCACGTGCGTCTTTTTTTTTTCTTCATATTTTTTTTCTTCTTCTTCATTCAGTCTTCTTCCTCTGCTTTCCTCCTTCTCCTCCTCCCCCTTCTCCTTTCGTCATCTTATTTTTCTCCTTTCTCTCCTCCTCACTAACTTTTTCTCCTCCTTCACTTCTTGTTCTCCTCTTCGTCATCTTCTTGATCTCCTCCTCGTCGCCATCTTCTCCTCCTCCTTCTTCATCACCTTGCTCTTCTTCTTCTCCTCCTCCTCCTCCTACTCCTACTCCTCCTTTCGTCATGTTTTTCGACTTCTTATTTTTATCCGCCTTGTCCTCCTCCTCGCCCTCTCCTCCTCCTCCTTTCGTCTTCTTCTTCTTTTTCTTCCAGTTTTCCTCCTCCCCATCTTCTTTTCTTCCTCCCCGCCATCTTCTTTTTCTCCTACTCCTCTCCTCCACCTCCTCCTCCCCGTCATTTTCGTCGTCGTCACGCGGCTGCCACGTTAGCACAGGCGACGTTTTTTTTTTTTTTTAATATTCTTCTTCTTCGTCATCTTCTTCTTCTTATTATTATTATTATTATTCTTTTTCTTCTTCTTCTTCTTCTTCTAATCTTCTTCCTCTCCTCTCCTCCTCCTCCTCCTCCTCCTCCTCCTCTGCCTCATCCTCCTCTTTCGTCATCTTCTTCTTTTCCTTCTCCTCCTCCTTGTCAACTTTTTCTTATCCTCCTTCTCGACTTCTTGTTCTCCTCTCCATCAGCTTCTTCATCTCCTCCTCGTCGCCATCTTCTCCTCCTCCTCCTTTCGTCATCTTGCTCTTCTCCTCCTCCTCCTCCTCCTTTCGTCAAGTTCTTCAACTTCTTCCTCTTGTCCACCTCGTCATCCTCCTCGCCATATCCTCCTGCTCCTCCTCGCCATCTCCTTTCTCTTCTTCTCCTCCTCACGACTTTTTTTTCATTATTATATAATCTTCTTTTTCTTTTTCTTCACGTTTTCTGCCTCTACTCCCCTCATTTTTCTCCTTTCTTGATCATCTGATTCTTCTTCCTCTTGTCTTTCTCCTCCTCGTCGTCATCTCCTCATCCTCTTCCTCATATTTCAAATTTTTTCATCATTTTCGTCTTCTTTTTTCTTTCCTCCTCTTCATCGTCTTCCTTTCCTCCTCCTCACCGTCTTCCTCCTTTTCTTATTCTCTTCTTCTCCTGCTTCTGACTATTCACTTGCATCTCCTCTCGTTCTTGTACTTCTTCTTCTTGTTTTCTCCTCGTCCTCCATCCCTTGTTTTCTTCTTATTTTCTTGTTTTCTTCTTGTACTCCTTCCTTTCCTCTGTAGTTGTCCTCCATGGCATTTTTTTTTAATTTTTTTTTAACATATTTTCGTTTTTCACACCCGTGTACTGCGTCGAGTATGCCCTAGCTATGTATCCCCCGTAGTCATGACCGTGGGGCCGCTGACCCCGTGCGGTTGGGATTGTGACCGCTGGTCCGACTAAATGAGGTCGAGTGCAGCCGTGAAACGTACAATATATTTATTTTCCAGGGACCGCTGACCTCGTGCGGTTGGGATTGTGACCGCTGGTCCAACTACATGAGGTCGAGTACAGCCGTGAAACGTACAATATATTAATTTTCCAAGAAAATAAGTAGGGGGGGGGGGGGAGTGGTTGTAGGGTTTGAAAATCTCGTACGTGGGAATACGTAAAAAAAAATAATCATCGAACACATCCGAAACAAAATGATATTTCAACCAATTTTTGTTTGAGACTCATCTCAAACTTCTGTATCACACTCGAGTTACATATCAAAGACACAAAAAATAAATAAATTTAAAAAATAAATAAAAAAATCTAAAAAAAATAAAAACAAACTGCTAACTATTTTGCTATTTTTCAAAAAACTATTAAAAATATATCTATATAGGGTTACCAGCCCGTACGTACGGAGGCCCCCGGGCGGACCTCCGTACGTTCGAGCGTTCGCGGTCCCGTACGGGGTCCGAACCCGACGGCGTTCGGCCCCCGCCCAAAATGATTTTGGGGCCTAAAAATAAAAAAAAAATTCTGAGTTTCTTTTTATGAGTACTCTATGATGTGAGGTACATGCCTATAAATTTTCAAGTCATTTGGCTTAGCCAAATAAGATAACAAATCGCCAAAGATAGCAGCGTCAAAACGTGCTCGCCCACGTTTGTTTTCACTTTTTTACTTTTTGTTTTCACTTTAGTTCGGGGTCTAAACAATTTTATTATTTTTTGAAAATGTTGTAGTGGGTTTTGTAATATGGGAAGTACATTTCAGTAAATTTTCAGGGCATTTAGCTATGTCAAAAAAAAATGAAAAACTGCCAAAGATGGCGGTGTCGAAAACATGCTCGCGCACTCACTAAATTTAATTCTCTTTTTATTTTTATTTATTTTTATTTATTTTTATTATTAGTATTT